TTCCACCGTTTGCTCATATCAAGTCTCTTATTCACAACATATTTTTTTACTGTATATAGATCGGGGGTGAGGGATGGTTCCATTGTATCGATTTTTATACACTTCTTTGTGTTACATGTTTATAATATGAAAAGTGCTTTATAAACTAAGCCCGATTGAGTAATTGAAAACAAAAAATATTTAATCTTCAATCTTGAGACATTATATTGTACCTAAGCCTTGACCCATTTAAACACTCCAACACATCAATCAACAGCAAAAATCAGCTGTTTCTGATCCACCTGTAGAAACTCATGCACTTAAAACACCTGAAAAAGAACAGATTATGAATATTTCAAATTTTATTTCTCAAAAATCTGGACACCACTTACCTTTCTGCAGTTGACTGATGTGTTTGAGATGGCTACTCTCCTGGCAGTGTAGGAAGATTCTCCATGACGTGTGTCCCAAATAACAATGTATTTAAGACTGAATTAAAACTTCCATGACGGCTCTCCTGTAAACTCATTTTTTCTTAGTCTCTAAAATCCCAATCGCTTGTTCTCTCAAGCTGTTGGGGATGGCGTCATTATGCAAAGTCCGATTAACCTGCCGAAAGATTTTTTTTTTTTTCTCTCTCTTTATGTATCAAACACATTCAAACTATCTTTAAGTTTCCATTTAAATCTAACATTTCTTGCGTAATATTGTCTAACCTTGTTCATAATACCCTAACCTAATTTTATAAAACAAATATTCACCCACAATGGAAATCCTCGGCTTGCACCACGATCCATGCTCAACTCAATGTAATCCTCCTTAATCCTGATACGATAAAGAGGGTATAAGATCATCCAACCTAATGCTAAGAGAAAACAGGATACCTTTGTTCCAATTAAAAGTGTTTAGTAGTTGTAATAGCTCTAATGATGAGATTATCTGGTTACAAAACAATGACTTCTCTTGGGATTGGATCCAGCTGAACCCTGTTGCACACAGGACACAAAACTTTTTGGGTTTGCTGTATCATAACATAAAGCGTGTAAGTGGAAAATGTCAAATGGGCTGCATGTATTACCTGTTACAGTTGCCTCTCCAACTAACAGACACTAATCGAATCACATTAACACATATTCACATTCAAACTATAAATGTTGTACAAATTTGGGGTTCACAGATTCAACAAAGGGTACCGCAGGGGCCAGGAATCAAACTCCAAATCTACAGATGAAAGATGAGAATATTAGAATTATCCTGAGATTATTGTAATTTTTCTGTCTTTTTTAAAAATATTATTTTGCTGCTCAGTGTTTTTAGATGATGTATTTCTAATTTTCTTAAGCAGAGTCAGATATGCAGCTCATTGTTTCATCATTTAGCTGATGAAACTGTCATTTAGATTTAGATTAGGTTTGAATAACAGAAGCACCTTTAACTGAAGGTCTTGGTGTGCCTGCGACCCAGAACGGGCCTTCATATTGATCAAGAAAAGTCCAACATTAAGGCCTGAACATAGTAAAATTTAGGTTTGAGAAGGCACTTACTTTTTGTAAAATATATCCTTAACTCTTTGCCTTCATTCTCTGTTAACATTTCCAGATATTAAAAAAAATCTCTGCACTACTCTCTTCATCCAAGTTCAGTGAAAATGATCACTGCTATTCTGAACACTGCAAGTTCCTATACAGATTGTCCAGAGCCCACAGACCTGCCTCAGCTATTAGCATGAAAAGCAAAATTAAAGATTTTACAAATGCTAGACAACATGAAGCAACACAGTGTTAAAGAGCTGCAAGAGAAGTGAAGAAGATCCTGTTTACCACCGTCCTCATCACCCAGACTGTCGAAAAAATCCTCACAGTTGGCACATACAATTTTATGCCATGCTTAATAAAAGAGGCCCACCTGATCAACATCCTGATTAACCCAGTCTGAGAAATGGTTCTTCTGTCCTATTTGGCCTCCTTCACTTCTTCCTTCTCTTCAGGATCACAATATTTCTTCTTCTAACCACAAGCGTTTGTGACCGGAGGTCTTGTAGCTCTGCTTGGTGGTAAAAACAGAATTCCTGAGGACAAATCACAGCCTTACATGTAGATGATGATTATCGTACGACACACACACGCACTCACGCACTCACGCACTCACGCACCTTCGCTCTCTCTCTCTCTTTCTCTCTCTCTCTCTCTCTCTCTCTCTCTCTCTTTCTCCCCCTTTCTCTCTCTCTTTCACACACACACACCCTGCAAATGCTCATGTACATACAGTGGTAATTATGTGCATTTAATTGAACAAATTCCGACGATTATTAGTGGATGAGACAATAATCAGATTTATGTACATTTTGTTTGTGATTGTAAAGATCATGTTGATTTCAATGCCACAGTTCAACACAAACACTTGAATTTATCATCGCACATTTATCCTCAGCCTCTGTGAAATCACCGTCCTTGTCTGATGTAAACATTTCAAAGCCAAGTCCATTTAAAAAAAAGACCCAGTTGCTATGCGGTGAAAACTTCTGCATGGCACTTTTCTCAATGTCGGCCCTGTTGTTGGAACTCAGGGAAGGAGGCAAAATGCCCGAAAGGTAACACACAGCTTGAGTTAAACCAGAAAAGTGGATTACAAAGGGCTACAGCACAGAGATTATCAGATTTAGTGTTGTTGGGAAGCAGATTGAGAGGCAAAGACCTGCTGCTCTTTGTATTTGAAAGTGGGATTAACCTGTTTAACCAGGTTTTGATGTTAAGAACAAGTGCCGATGCACATCTTAAACACTGAGCACAATGTGTGCACCTACAGGCACTGCACTGATTGTTTGTGTTCCTTGATTTGAATACGTCCTGAATCATTTTAAAGAACTAAATCTTAAAGTTACTCTTTTTGCACTGTATATAGTGAGGCTCTTAACTGCAGGATGTTTGTTCCCCTCGACAATCACATTCACTATGTCACAATAAACAACAACAACATCTTACAATGCGATTAAAGAGGACACACTGGATTCTCTGACCACCAACCTTGTGAGGAAACAGTTTCTTTCTCCTCCTGCACAGAAACACTGTTCCCCAAGAGCAGAAGAAAAAGATTATCTTTAATATTTTATCTTTTGTGCTACAAGAGCGCTCTGTTTGCCCTGAACACTGACTTTACTGCTGAACATCACCTTTTTTATAGCTTCAGTTAAATGGTTTCAGTCATCACCAACAGTCACATATTTTCATTGGATGTAAAAAATAATAATAACATTTAAAAAAGTCTGTTTTATTTTTTATTTTTTCACTTGTAGTTGACATCCCAATTTGAGGCTTGTTAGTTTGACAAACATGACATAATGTGTCCTCAAAACCTTTCTTTATCCATTTAATAAATCTTCGTATGCCTTCTTTATTTTACTCCTTATTTGATTTGATTCTGCTTTTTTGCCTGGGGCTTGTGTGTGTCTTTTTAAGGGCACTACACAACAGTGCAATGTGTATTTAAGTTACAGATTTTTCATGGATTGAATCTGGAACGCATCTGTCTAACAGTGTTTGTGAAAGTACAGTTTTTAAAGAATTTCAGTTTTTGAAAGAACTATGCAGGAGACCATAAGGGCACCAAATGAAGAAACACTTGCAGTCAGAGGTCTTTGGTAGACCTCAAGTTTATCTCAACTCTGCAAAATTTACATTACATTCAAACAAATCAAGCCTTTCATTTACCCTCATTCAGTCTGGATGTGGTTACTGGCTTGATTCGTAATGATGAGTTGATTATTTGATGCCAAAACCTTAACATGACCTCTGGAGTCTACCTTTGAAGTCAGTTAGAGATAGAAAAATTATAATGAAATATAGGTTTCTGGTGCTAAAACAAACAGGACACTTTTAGTGCCTGTTAAGTGTCTGTGTTATTAGATTGAAAATCCGACATTTGCATTAGTTTTTGTTTTTACACTTTGTTGTTTGTTTATATATTATGCACTGCATCCAGTTGTTTTCTCGTGTTTTTGTTCAAAGTTTAGGTTTATTCTGTTTTTTTTTTTTTTTTTTAAAGCAGTCAGAGAGTCCTGTGACTGAACTCCTGGTTATCTGTAATAGGCTGTTGTCGAAAACTGCATGGGCTCTGGATCAACAGACTTGTTCTTACATGAAACCTTTCTGACTTACGAATGTGGTGCAGTCGGCCGCTGCGGTAAAAACACACCCATGGATGCAACTGGTCTCACCTGAAATCAGGTCAGCGGAAATCAGCCTGCATGATTGGGGTCATGGGGGGACAAGGTAAACCTACAGGGACATAATGTAAAGTTCCGCCTGGTTCTGAGGGCATCAGCTCACTCAGAGGTCCCTCGGGTGTTCATTCACAGTATTCGGTTTCTTTTTAGCGGTTAACTCCACTAGTTTTGACTTTCCTCCAGGGTATTACAGGGTTTTGTGTCACTATTGCACCTACTTTTAAGTTTACTGACCTCCTTTGAAAAACAATGACGTTGTATTCGGAAATGTTGCCTGGAGACATGACATGAAGAAGGGGGAGGGCTGAACTACCTGGATTACTGAGGACCAGATGCATTCACTTGATCCTGTGAACACTTCAGATGATCAGATTATGTGGCCTACAGGCCTCTAAGTCATTAGGATTTAATGAGCTGTTCCGTGCCAGGTTTGAGTAACTTATTGGCTCCGAGGTGGCGGCTGTTGCTGGGGAAGTCGATGATTTACAGAAGTTCAAGTTTGTGTGGGATGTGAACTAAAGCTTTAAATCCCTTCCTTATTCCTTGAGCCATTATGTGTGGGATGTGAGCCAAAATGTTAAATCCTTTCCTTGAGCTTGTTAAGTAGAGCCTAAGTAATGTTAAAGTTTCCTATAAATGCAGGTGTAATGTCCCGTTAGAAAGAGACCGTCGGAGGACTCTCAGGTCTTTTGGGATCATTTTAAACTAGATGGGAATTGTTTGCAGACTCCTGATAATACAATTTTAACATTTTTTTAAAAGAGTGCTTCAATTTTATTTGACACTCCAACAGACGAAAATGAGGGGCCACCGTCAATCAGAGCTCCCAGAAGACTTCTGGATCCCTATTCCTCTGGACACCAACAATATCACTGCACTAAGCCCTTTCCTAGTGCCCCAGGATCACCTAGGACACCTGGGTGTCTTTTATGCCATGTCGATGTTTATGTTCTTCATATTTGTGGTTGGAACATCCATTAATGTGCTAACTATCGCATGCACTGTTCAATATAAGAAGCTCCGGTCTCATCTGAACTACATCCTGGTGAACTTGGCCATTGCAAACCTCATCGTGGCCTGCGTGGGGTCGTCAACCTGCTTCTACTGCTTTCTCAACAGATACATGGCTGTTGGTCCACTGGGCTGCAAGATTGAAGGATTTGCAGCAACTCTGGGCGGTGAGAAGATAGACAAAATACATGGGTAGAAATTGTAATGATAATGAACAAATGGACTTTTCTTCTTAATACTGTCTATTTTGTAACACAGCAAAACCTACTTTGCTGTTTTTACTGTAACACACAGAAGCTTTGCATAAAACGCTGACATGTAATTCTATGAAGATACAAGAACTTGTGGTGTTCAGCAGCATGGTATTTCATTTTGCTGTCAAAGCAGCAATCTTGTGCAAAAGTTGTGTGCAAGTGTTTTAATGAATGTTTCTGCCTAGAAGCATTACTCAGTGAGTCGAATCGCTAAATCGCTGAGCTGCTTAATGAGTTGTGGTCAACCCAAAATTCACATGCAAGAGACCGTTTAAAAAAAGTGCAATTCTTTTATTGGTTCAATTGAAATGTTACAGCCATGAGTTCCCAAAAGGGTTTCAAAGGAATTGTGGATCTGACCCACAAAAACAGAGGAAGGCTTTCAGTATGTCCTGTGATCCAAACAGATTTTCATACCTGAAAGAGGAATTTTTTTGAAACAGAGTATGCCTGATTCTTTTATCATATCAAAATCTCTTTTCTGTCTTGTTACAGGTATGGTGAGTCTGTGGTCTCTGGCCGTGGTTGCGTTTGAGAGATGGCTTGTTGTCTGCAAGCCTCTCGGGAATTTTGCCTTCAAGCCTCACCATGCTATAGCTTGCTGTGTAGCCACTTGGGTCTTTGGATTGATTGCTTCAGCGCCTCCCCTGTTTGGTTGGAGTAGGTCAGTAAAAGGACAAGCATTTTGAGTATTAACCGTCAATTGGAAATGACACTGATGCGATAAGTTCTTCAGCAACTTACTTTTCCTAGATACAGCCTGTAAAGGAGCTATAGAGCTCTTGAGAAGATAATAGGCATTGTTTATTCCCTGAGCCAAATCTAAATATAAAGAGCCACTGCTTGCACGCATGTGTCTTCAGTTCTGACTGTCTCTGCAGGTATATCCCGGAGGGCATGCAGTGCTCCTGTGGACCAGACTGGTACACAACCAACAACAAGTATAACAATGAGTCCTATGTGATGTTCCTGTTTTGCTTCTGCTTTGCTGTTCCCTTCACCACCATTGTTTTCTGCTACTCACAGCTGCTGCTCTTGATGAAATCAGTAAGCAGTACATTTTAGGTTCTATTTATGTGTGTATGTTTGGTGACCGCAGATTTTTTTTTTTACATTCTTGCAAGAATTCAAGTGTTTCTATTGACCTTGCCCCATAAATCTGCCTCCCCAACAACAGGCAGCAAAGGCCCAGGCTGAGTCTGCTTCAACTCAGAAGGCAGAAAAAGAGGTGACAAGGATGGTTATTGTCATGGTGATAGGCTTCCTAGTGTGCTGGTCGCCTTACGCCATCTTCGCTGTGTGGGTCGTCAACAACCGTGGGCAGACATTCGACCTGAGACTGGCAACCATCCCCTCCTGTCTGTCTAAAGCCTCCACAGTCTACAACCCAATGATCTACATCCTACTCAACAAACAGGTTAGTTTTGGTGCCGTGTGCAGATGCCAGTGAAAAAGCGTCATGCAATTCATGATTTCCTTTATCAGAACAAAGTACTCACCAGTATGACTAAAAAGCATGTCGTATTGTTATGGACTGAAGGAATTACCTGCAAAGCGTTACAAATGTGTGGAATATCATTCTGTCGACATACCTCCAACAGAAATAACTTTTTCCTTTCTGCCCCTCAGTTCCGCACATGTTTAAAGAAGATGATGGGCATGAGCGCAGGCGATGATGAGGAGGGATCAAGTACATCAGTCACTGAAGTCTCCAAAGTCGGACCTTCTTAGGTTATTCACATTTCATTTGATGACTGCACAATGTAAAAAGGAGTGAATGATGCATAATGTGACAAGTGTGATGATGTTTTCCTTTCAGATTAAGAATAATGTGCATACATAAAATGTAAAAAAAAAAAAAAGGATAAATAATGACAGTGTTTATTTTGTCTTTAACAGGGCATTCTAAGTGAATGAACACTTAAAAAATGAATTTCCATTTTTTGGTACTTCTTCCTAAAATCTTGTTTTTTTTTTTTCCACAAGATGCTTGATGAGGTCACTGCAAAACCCATAGTAGTTTTATTTGAATAATAAACAAAATGCTTTGCATGCATACAAGCTTTTCGTCAAATGTTTTAAAATGTTACACTACATTTGTAGTAGAGAGTTTCCCCTGCAGGATTTTAAAGAGTAAAAATGTACAGTTGCACACTTAAAAAATGAATTTTCTCTTTTAGCATTACTTTCTAAAATCTTGTTCTTTTTACAAGATGCGTGGTGAGGTCACTGCTAAACCCATAGTAGTTTTATTTGATTAACAAGCCAATGCACTGAGTACATGAACATTTTTGTCAATAATTTAAAAAGTTGCACTGCATTTCTAGTGTAGGGTTTCCCCTGCAATATTTCAGAGACTAATACAACAATTATACAGCTTACAGTCTTATGTCTTTGCTTGGTAAACAACTACCAACACTGCAGAGAAAAAGACTGTGAGACCCTCGAGGTCAGCTCATCAGAGGGGTTTGTGAGATGAGGAGCGGCTTTTGATGAAGTTCAAGTGTAATTTACAAATGTCCTAGTAAAGAGTATGCTTACAGTCTGTCTATGTCTTATAATTCTTTTTGTTCTATAGCATAAAATACAGACAAACACATTCATAACACATCCATAACATAAAAGTTGTTTTTTCTACAACACAAGGATAACGAGCTCGAGCCAAACCTGTAGTGATGCTTTATTATCCTCGTTTTATTTGGGGGGAGTTCAAGAGAAAATTTTCCCTTTAGCTCACTGTAAAGGTTTTAAACTTCATTTTTCATTTCAGAACATGAAAAGTGAATTGGAAAAAGAGGAATTAGCAGCATTTTTCATGAAGTTTGAAGGGAGGGCATGACAAGGACAGAGAGTGAACATGACATTGGAATATAACTCAACAAGACCAACTTTTAAAATTTCACACAAATCATTACTTAGAAAAATCAGCTGTTAACGCGCAAAAGTTGTGTGAAATATACAGCATTGGAGATGACAAAATCAAAAACTCACTGCTGTATTTTCCAAGGCAAATATTTGATTGTGCAGCGGGATACTGTGCTTCCTTATGCCTCTGTCTGTCTGAAAGAACCAATAAAAAAGGTTAGACTCCCATTATGAGCAGAACACCGTCTATCTGTGTAACAGCGTAATGAATGTATTCAAATCGAATCATTGTCATGTCAGAAGTGTAGATGATTAGTTTAAACTTCAGCCTATAGATGGAGCCATACCCAGAACAGATGTTGTAGATAGCAGACACACCAGTGTGGACAGCTGAGTCCAGTTTTTTTTTTTCCAAGTGGGGACTTTGAAGTCTGCAGAAAGTAACTTGGCGTTTATGTACAAATACAAAAAGACACTCAAACGCACAAGCAAACACAAACACAAACACAAACACAAACACACACACAAGATGTGATAGGCACTTGTATATTACTTGTAGTAAGTCAGAGGTCTGTGTGGGCAGTTACTGAAGCCAAACAAGTTCAGACGGAAGTCTCTAAAAGGCACAAAGTTAACAACTGTGAACAAAAGAAGTTATTCTGAAGAAACACTTGTGGCTGCAACCTGTAGTTTTACTTGTAAAAATGATGGACAGTAAAGCGTAGAAAGAGGTTACATGTCGTCTGCCTGTCATGATGCTGAAAGCGATGAAAAGTCAATACAGTCAGATCAATACATGAAATCACCACTGACACTGTCACCCCTGGAATACAGGTCATCATGTCTTATCTGAGCTGCGGGGAAAGGAAACAAAATCATTTTAGTTTGAGCTGACAGACTGACAACGACATTTGTACAAAATCTGAGAGTAAGACTATTACCTGATGTGAAGTGAACGAGAGACCATAAGGCTGACAAAGGTGCACTCGGTTCACATCACACCAGTGTAATTATTTACACTCAGCGATTGTCACCACACATTCTGACCACCTGCTACCCCGTTCACAGTGGTACTGGAGATTCACGTCGGTAGTCGGGAGCAAATCCGAGTTCTGCTAGTAGTGAACTTTTACCAAACATGAATAGTTCAGAACTAGCGGAATTCCAGACCTACCCTCGAAGCATCACAGCACCACATGGCTATAGGAGTCAAGAAGAGTTCAGAAAACTACTGTCAACTCCTCCTCTTGGATAAATGAATTTACATCAGTAAAATACTCCACATATGTTCAATCTAGATTTTCAAAAAGCTCTCTTTTAGCAATGTTTGAACAAACAAAAAGAACAATGTACTACCTTATACTCAAAAAGTTTAAAAATAGGCCAAATATTTAAAAAGGAATACAAATTGCACTATCCTGATCTCTAACAATAACACAGATATATCTGAAGTAAAAGAATACAGAAAAGTTTACAGATTTCTTCAGTGTCAGGATCCATCCTCCTCTTGGTGTGCAGTACCTGTCCCATGTGAAGGTCTTAGCCACTCTGGACGACGGTTACCTGTGCATGAAGAGGACTTTACAGGCACACAGAATCAACGGATTAAAATGAACCATGGTGGCAGCTTTTGTTAACCCCTGCTTTCTCCTGAGGTGAACTGTTGTTCCGGAGAGATTAAAGTGTTACGGAGTGAGCATGTCAGAAGTAATTACTCCGTGCTAATCTGTTTTGTGGAAGAACCCGAGTTGTCCGTTTAATCTACTTTGGTCAACTGAGAATGAGAGATCTTTAACAGCATTTCACAGGTGAATTAATACGGTGTATAACACTGTTCTCAATAAATGATGAAATTCCATCAGATGATTTGATACTCTTTTGACCCCAGCCGCTTCAGATCCCATAAAAGGTGAGGACTATTTTATAGCAGTAAGAAAATAAAGGTGCTACTCTTCTTGTCAACCCTGGCTCTGCCCTTAGTAAGTAAGTCTGAAGTACATACATTAGTAAAGATAAAAATGTTTTATGAAACTGACAGGGGATATTTATTTTAATCTGAATAATGTACTTCACATTCATTTACATGTGTAATAAAAAATCTATCAACCAATTTAAACAAAGCAATCACAAATGGGCACAAATATGATCCCTATCAAGAGAGATAATGCTTAATCAGCAACTGTGGAATATTCTGTGAATATAATGGAGAGTAAAACTTAGCAAGAGGTTACATGTCATGTGTCTGCCATGTGCTAAAAGAGATGAAAAGGCTATACAGTCAGAACAATACATGAAATTACAGCTGACACTGTTATGCCGTATCAAAATAGCAGCAAAAACAACATCTGTGTTGTTTTTAATGCACCAAGCATGGTTTTCTTCATAAAACCCTGCATGGACTTATGAATTTGAATTGACCATATTTTCTCAAAGTGTGTCATTAACCCGTATGTGAAAGACTGTTACGTCTCTTCGATGGACTGTTTCAGCATCTTGGCCTACATTATTTCTAATAGGCGGAGTGAGATGATTACACTATAATTAAAGAAATTAGTTCAGAATAAATCGAGGGCTATGGGATACTGTTAACATCTATGATTGTAATTACATTATGTTAGATGAATTGTTTATTGTTGAGATTCATCTTATAAAATGAGGCTCTTTGAACCAAATGTAAAGAATTGGGAAAACGTTGTGTTTCTCAATCTTCTTTTGGCTTGTGCATTCTGATTTTATCAACACTAATTAAAATCATAAGGACTTTGGATTATAGATTCACCTTACCAAGCTCATAATATCATTTACAGAGGCAAAACAACTTAACCGTGACTGGTGCTTGAGGACAGAGGCTGATCCAGGACAAACCTGAGCCTCCCCTCACTATAAGCTCTCTTAAAAAGGAAACTCTAGAGCATACTCTCAAAAGTGTGGAGGGCATCTTTTTCTTTAAACCAAACATGAAAATGTTTCCATAAGAAATGATTTCCTCAGGATAACATACATGTTTGAATTTTGAGAGCACTATCTTTTAATGAAATGGATGCAAATGATTTTATCTTAACAATATTTCTCTTATACACTTATAGGGAGTGTGATACCAAAGATGTAGGATCTTCTGTCCTTGAAGTTGTCTGAGTCTACTACAGGAGCATTTTGAACCAGAACAAGAGTTGCAAGAAAAGTATTGGGACAGTCTGGTTAAAAAAGAAAAAGATTTGCAATCATCCAGACTTTAGAATGTTAATACAGGAGAAGTTTTTCCTGCACATTTTCAAGTCAGCAGAGAGAGAAAGACACAGTCCTTGAGATGTGTTTTACACGGTAGTTAAAGGACATAACCTGATTAAAGATAACTCCTCGATCCTTACTTGCGGTGGGGAAGGCAGGGTAATTCAATTTGAGTATTAATGAATCAGTCACGAATTTGGCCTCTCAATGAGCCAGCTCCTGTAGGTGAGCGCTGGGGATTTTGGGCACCGGCTCCTGTCTTGGAAAATGATCTTCTTTCCTATATTTTCAATATGTTTTTTTTTTTTCAGTTATTGAAGAAAGCAACAGACAGATCCAATAAAGTATATGTCGACTCTGATCCTCATTGCCTGGACCAAACGTGGGGAGACTTTTGTACGTTGTGAACAGTTCAACAGCAACAATAGCCCAAGGCAAAAAGTTTTGTACTTTTTAGTTATTGTAGAGATTTCATACAGAACTCAATGTTTATTTTTTGAATTGTGAAGAGGATATTCTGTGTGATTAAACAGTAATTTAAGTGATTCATGTGGATGAGGAGCAGTTTGAAAAAAGTCAAAAGATTTAAACATAGAGCTATGTGAGATAGATGAGCTCTCTCATGATCTTACTGGGACAAGTGATCTTGCCCACAAAACGGAGGGTCAATTTATGACATTGCATCTGGGTTGCTATGACATATTTCGAAGGTGTAAAATTCAAGAGGCTGCAATTACCCTGATCTTTGCTGGTATTTCCTTTGGGCAAAGTTGGGAAAATTGGTATCACTTTGCTTTCTTAATTCATTCAGTTTGGTGTCATCTGAATAAAAATGAACATTTGTGCTGTTTTTCCTTTTAATATTGCAGGGGGGGATGCAAATATATTTGGTGAAGAGAATTGCCTCGAGCACACAAGCGTGTGGGACTCTTCGACCAATATTGGGAATGAACGAATCATTGTGAGCATGCCCAAACTGAAGCTGATCTATTAAATGGCATTTAAACCAGCTCAATGCTTTAGTGTCAGTGAAGACAGTGAAGGTGGAGGAGGTAACGTGCAGGTACAGGCACTGCTTGAAATTACATCAGTCCCTTTGTGAAATTATGTCTGCCTTGATAGTTTGCTCTCTTCCCATTCGACTACCCCCCTGCAAGACACTTTGATCTCTGAAACTTACAGCTGACCTACTCATGATGTACCTCTCTTTCTTCCCAATACCAGATGGGATCCCAGTATATTTTCTTGTGAGTTTATTTAAGTGCTGCATTCAGACAAATAAGGTTGGTTCAGATAAATCCCCCAAAACCTTGTTTTAAGAACTAGTTGTTTTTGTTGCCAATTTTATTCTTAAATCAAACAGGATAACAAAAATATTGGATCAGACTTCCATCTATACCAAAAAGGATTGAGATTCAAACCTGACCTTTTGGAAAAACGTTTAACAGCACGCTAAGTAACAGTGACCTATTTGGTAGAGCTCCAGTGAGCTACTAACCCTGTTAGATTTAGATCTAATCCCTCAACTTGAAATGTCAAACTGTGCTCTATGTGCAAACATCATAAAATGATGAATATCGAGTATAATCAAGTTAAAGTTTGATTATTGGGATGGGTAATGTTAAACTGATACATCTGATAACCTCTTGTAAGTTAACAGTGATTCATCAGAGTTTGTGAAATTTTGTCATGGTCGAATTAAAAAAATAGTTAAAAACATAGTAGTCAAAGAAATTGAAAAATAGTACTAACAGTTATAATACTTATACTATTACTAATGCTAATACTAAAGAAATGATAATAGTGATAATACAATTAAAAAAACAGAAAAAAAATCATTCCCTTATCACCATCCAAGCCCTGTCTTTTTTAGGGACATCCCTACTTATTTCAATGCCAAGACACATTCTGCACGTGTTACAACAGTGTGGGTTTTTTAGTAAAAGCAGTGCATGTACTGGACTGGCCAAATCTGTCTTCCCTTGAAAACTAAAATACCACAGTGGAGACCCCGGACTGTTCAGCAGCAAAGTTGTATATCAAGCAAGAATGGGAAATAATTCCCCTTCCAAAGCTTTAACAGTTAGTGTTGTTTAAGGAAAATGTGATGTAACACATGACCCTGTCCAAGCTTTTGTTGCAGCCATCCAATTCAAAGTGGGTTAATATTTGCCCAAAACAAAGTTGGTCAGTTAAAAAATCAGATAATTTTTAGTGTATTTAATTGGATATAGGAGGAAAAGGATTTGAAAATCATTTCTTCTGCCTTTGCTTTTCGGAACCCTTTCCAAATCCTGATCATCTCCACCTGTCTATCAACCTCCCGCAGACTGTCCCACTGATCCTGGTCACCAGAGGTTAGTATCCTTCTGCTCACTCTCCCAAATCAAGTCCACCTGCTAATAGGCTTAACACAATCAGGATTTTTGAGGCCGATCACCGATTAGTGAGTTCAAATAAACCGATAACTGATCACAATCCGATCATGTGAGGGAGCAATTTGTCTAATTAAATGACTTGTTTATTTACTGTATAGACTTTTGTACTGTTAACTGAGTTCAGGAAAAAAGTATTCACAAGCATTGTTTGCCAATGTTCGACAATTTTTACCTCAAACTGACAAAGATGAAAAGGTTAAACATCAATGACTGCTAGAGGGCATCCGAGACTGGCCAGATACAAGTTCAAAGTTCAATCAGGACAAACCACAATAACTTCAGACAGAAATAATGGGTGCAACAACTTAACTTACTTAACTAAATGGCAGGTTGGACAACAAAATAAACTCCATTAGCTTTCTTGTACCCCTCCTTGCCTTCTCACTGTTACGGCTGTATGGCCGGTCATGGCCTAAAGTCATTTGCTGTGGCTGTTTCTGTGTCTCTTTTACCTTTTCTTCGCTCTGTATTTTATAACTCAGCGTGCTCCTCTTTGTGTTCTTTTTCAAAGTGTCTAATTAAATTTGGTTGCATATAGCTTGTGTTTTATCTCTATGGTTCACATGTTTGTCAGCCAAGACTCAAAAAGCTTCACTGTCCATCATATAACGACAAAGCTCAAAACATAAATGCTACAAAGACATAAAAAACACATTCAAACTAGTGGGGCTTGTCTGTTTTGCTTTGTTTGTTTGTTTAAAGCAAAACCAACCACATCTCATTGGTTTAAATGTGTGTTTTACATCTTTGTGGTGAATATGTTCTGATCCTGTCTTTATGTGATGGACAACAAAGTTTTTTGAAATGTGAATCATTAGCAACATCGTCACGAGCAAAAAAACATGTCGGTGCTGTGAAACTTCTCTGGAGTGAATGCGACGGATAAAACACAAGCCATCTGCAATCTATGCAACGAGAGCATCTGCAAAAAGTTTCAAAACAACAACG